AATTAAATCAAAAGTAAGGTAAACTCAAGGAAGTAGATAATAACATGGTCATTAAAAAAGAGATGATCTGGGGCACCTGGGTGGCTCAGATGTTTAAGTGTCCGACTCTTGATCTCAGCTCAGGACTTGTCCTGAGTTTGAGCCCCATGTTGGGCTTCATGCTGGGCATGGAGACTACTGAAAAAGAGAGCAACTGAGAGAGAGATGATGTGATGACCCTTCTGAAGAAATTATCTGAAAGCAGAGATTTTTCTGTGGGAAGTTTTTCTTTACAGTAAAGAAAATAGAGCACAGCAAATTACGCAGATTAAAGACCAATGATTGGTGTTCTCGATTATTAATAAAGGAAAATACTGCCTTGGTGCCAGATTTTTTTTTTTTCTAAAATTGTTCTTTTACAAAAAGCAGTATTTGCTTTTGCTTTGGGGCTGAAATAATATTGCTTTAAAAATAAAACAATGCGACTTCTGGAAACTCTAATTTCAAGATCATTCATCAAACCCAAGAATGACTATGAGAAGGAACAGGGACAGGGAAGAGGGAGCTAATCCATTCGTGTTTAAAGGACAGAGTGTGGAGGGTCCCTCTGGCAGCCATGATTTTTAGAGGGAAGCTGGACTAGATAAATTCTCGAGTCACTTTATCCTACAATTAGGTCATATTGAAAATACTATTCAAAGGTGTCAGGAGAACCAAATGCTATTTCCTAGAACACGATGCAAAAGAGTGTGTGTGTGTGTGTGTGTGTGTGTGTGTGTGCGCGTGCATGTGCGTGCGCATACGCATGTGCATGTTTTAGTCAGTTCAACACTAGATGGCTCTAGTTACAAAACCTGTACATATCACAAGTCTAAGATCCTGAGATGTGACAGCAGAAAACAGACGGTGTCTAACCTTGTGGATCAGATTCTGCTCTCCTCCCAAGTCTTGGAGGCATTAAGAACAGCACCAAGCTTTTATTTTTAATTTTTTAAACAACTTTATTTGACAGAGAGAGAGAGAGAGAGAGCACAAGCAGGCAGAGGGACAGGCAGAGGGAGAGGGAGAAGCAGACTCTGCTGAGCAGGGACCACACCACGAGGCTCAATCCCAGGATCCTGGGATCATGACCTGAGCTGAAGTCAGCCGCTTAACCAACAGAGCCACTCAGGCGGCCCAAACACCAAATTTTTAGGTTGAAATACTGTGCACCTCTGGAAGAGAGGGCTTACCTAGAAGTCCTTATGTCACAGATTCAAATGCTGCACTGACACAGCCTTGAGGATGGAGGTTTAATTTGCTCTGTAATTCTTCCTCTCCATGCTCTGACAGTATGCTATTATTTTCAAACCACTTTCACATATGCCAATTCATTTGATCCTCTCTCCAGCACCACGAGGGAGATGTTGTCCTCATCAAAGGCAAGGACACTGAGACTTCCACAGGGGGCAGAAACTTGCTCAAGGTTACTCACAAGTAATAGCTCATACGTGATATAGCACCTAAATGATAACATTAGCACTGGATTCCCCAAGTACCAGCTCCCAGCTCAGAGTTCTTTCTACATCCTAGACAAGGAGAGAGGATTAGACGTTTGCCCTATGTAGTGTGTCTGGCATGGCCCTTTCACTTTCTAGAATACTCCATTCCAGTTCATTAAATACCCCCATCAAATACCCAAAATATATTTTGAATTCTTAAGAAATTGAGAACAGTGAAGAAAACTTTTATGGAGTTAGGAGAGGGAGGATTTGGGCTAGGAGGGAAACGTTTCATTCTTGGTAGTCTTTGGCTTTGAATTACCTTTGAAGTTTTTTTTAAGCTTCGTGTTTTACCTAAACCATCAATAAATAATCAACACTTTTTACCCAAATACGCAGCTCTGCTGGGTGGCAAAGTCAGTTTGATATTTAAGGCAAGATTAGTTAAAATCCATAAGCCAAATAATTCACATGCAAATAATTGCTGAAAACTAGCATTTAATGAGCGCTTATGATAGACCACTCTGCAAATCTCTTCCTTCATCCATTCTTTCTTGCTCCAATGCCACCACCCTAATCTCAAACCCATTACCTTCCATCTTCTCTCTAACTGGTCTGTCAAATATGTCACCTGCCTAAAATGCACATCACTGACTCTTATTTGAATATATATGCGACTACACAACTCTAGGACAAGAAACTCTAAGACAAGAAAAGGAGAAAGGCAATGTTATCTCAAGACGATTTATTCTCAACCTTATACCCAAAATAGACAAATAGATCATGTGGTTCACTTCCTTAAAATCCTTCCAGTGACTTCCCACTGCCTGGGCACAGCACTGGAAATCCGTGGCTCTAGGCTCTTCTCCCCCACTCACCCCTCACACCTGGCCTTCTACCGGATATTTGAATGTGCCGAAGTCATTCAAACTGAGGACGCCCACTGTGCTATTTCCACCTGCCGTGATGTCCAGTTCCACACTAGCTTAGGTCCCCACGGGGAATGCTTTGTGTACCATCCAGTCGGTACCCCTCTGTAATACTTATTCCAACTCCATTTAATGAAGTATCACGAGGAGTATTTGCTTGATCTACTTTGTCTGCTCCTGAATCCCTGAAGACTAACGTATTATTTTGAAGCTTTTAAAATTGTGCTTCACGGGGCGCCTGGGTGGCTCAGTGGGTTAAAGCCTCTGCCTTCAGCTCAGGTCATGATCCCAGGGTTCTGGGATCGAGCCCCATATGGGGCTCTCTGCTCTGTGGGGAGCCTGCTTCCTCCTCTCTCTCTGCCTACTTGTGATCTCTCTCTGTCAAATAAATAAATAAATAAATAAATAAATAAATAAAAAATAAAATATAAATAATAAAATAATAAATATAATTTTATTAATAAAATATAAATAAATTAATTAATTAAAAAATAAAAAATTGTGCTTCACAATCAATTTTAGATCATAACGGGTACACACACACACACACACACACAGAGACACAAAACTGAGGAGTTTCATGAACATGCCCCTTCTGCATGCAATTCACTTGATAATTTCTACTCTGTTTTAAAAATGTTGGCTGCAACCCAGTTTATTGAGTCTACAGCCACTAAGAGACTCAGACCTCATGTGAAATAACCACTCATCTAACACAGTGCTCAGCCAATAGTAGGGCCTTGGTGATTATTTACAGAACAGACAAATGAAAAAAATACTCACCAACCACTACTTAAAATGATTTGTGTTTGTCTGCATTGTATAACAGGGGATTGATTATGACTTTGTCCCTCCCCAGAGAATGGGGCCCCAGAAGGGCTAACCCCGGCCATTCTGGGTACAGTTATTTCCCTTGACTGGACTGATGAGATCAGGTCATGGGGTGATCTCCTCCTGTCCCCATGCCCCAGACTGTCCCCTTAAGTACCCTCCAGAAAGAGAGACTGTTCATTATTTCCCTGTTTATAGCAGACCATTATATCCCTATCCCTGCAAAAAAGAGAGGACTTAGAAAATAAAGAACTTTCCAGCAATATCTTTTTTTTTAAAGATTTTATTTATTTGACAGAGATCACAAGTAGGCAGAGAGGCAGGCGGAGGGGGGGGTGGAGAAGCAGGCTCCCCACTGAGCAGAGACCCCCCCCCCGATGCGGGACTCGATCCCAGGACCCTGGGATCATGACCTGAGCTGAAGGCAGCAGCTTAACCCACTGAGCCACCCGGGCGCCCCAGTTCCAGCAATATCTTAATGACACCAAATGCCCAGAATGAGCTTTCTCCAGAAAAACCAGTGAAACTGCTCAGTGGGGGCCCAGTCCCAGGGGCTTGTCCAAGGGTGTGTCCTTCATGCATCTGTAGGTCTGCGGGGAACTTGAGTGCCCCCCTCACCCCCATGAGCTCACTCCCAGGGCACAACTCCAGAGCAAAGCACGTGTTCTGTCACCCCGGTCATGCAACACTTTGGAAGAAGTGGAGATGAACCAATGCTTCCACGTGTCTGAGAACTGAAAACCGGTAGCAGAACGAACATTCTAGCAATAAGCATTATGTCCTGCATTTTAGATTCCTGTGTGCTCAGTTGATGCCTCTTTCTCTACGTTGATATGATGGAAGGATTGTTCATTCTGTGCGTTTTCGTGGCCCACAAGCTTCTGTTAATAGTTGGCTCCTAGAAAATCTGACTCCTCTTACTTTGAACTGAAGCCAGGTGAGGGTAGCCTCTATTCTACGGGGCCTGCGCTTTCTAAACCCTTAAGGCAAAATGTACTCAAAATTGGGAGGGCTTTGGGTTTTTTTAAATTTTTTTTAAAGTGGGCTGTATACCTTTAAGATCTTCCTCTATAGACTAGAGCTCATAATGAAGAACTTAGAATCTCAAGGTTAGATCTTTGAAAACGTCCCTTCCTTTATTCTTCAAGAATCACAGTTACCACTGAGGTTTCAAACCAGGAACAACAGCTTTGGATCTCACATAACCCAGTCCACGGCTGGTGCCCTCTTAAAACCCAGATGAGCAGCTTGCATAAAAAAGAAGCCAATTTCCCCAGCCCGATCAGACCCTATTTACTTAGTTATGTAAATGCTTTGTGTATTTGGGGTTTTGTAAGCCAGCGTTTATCTGCATACTTGACCTGAAACTCCACACTTTACTCCCTGTAAAACAGTGATCTAAAACAGCATGAACAAAAGGAAGAAAGATAGACTCTCCCAGATTTACCCTTAGACTTAATATCCCTTCCACGGAACAGAGAACAGGGGAGCTAACGTAAATAAAAGCTGAGCTACCCAAACTACAGTGAGTTCTGCTTTTTAAAACACGTAACTCACGACAACAGCTTCAAAGGCAATATTCACATCAACGGTTTTTAACACAAAATATATTTTAATGTTGTCCACTAAGGAGCCTGGCCCTTTTGTAGACTCTGCGGCCCCCGTGACCCAGTTATCTGGTCAAAGGGCTGTATGGATGCAAGAGACAGGGCGAGTTAAAGTTTAACTCCCAGGAATTGTAAACCAAACCTAAAGCCACTGAACCTTTGGAGTTTGATATGTTGATTAGAGCATAACCAGAGTGACACGTTGAACTCGCCACAATCAAGGAAACCTTTTCCGGGTGGGGACCTCTGCAATCACTCAGGTACGGTCCATGTGTTTGGCTATTTCTTGCTTCAACTTTGTGAAACTGTGCATTGTGGCTCAGTGGGAACACAGCGAGAAGAGCGTCTGTCTATCCTATTGCCTGATGCAGGGAGCTTTCTGGCTGGGTTTATGCTAATGGAGCAACCTGAAAACAAGAGAATATACTTCAAGAGTCACATAATCTCAGAATGAAATGGCTGCTATCTTCTGGTCCTTGATTTAATCCATTTCTGAGCTAAAAAAGTAGATTTACTGCCTTGGGTTCAAGAGTATGGCTAATGTTTCTGAGAAGTTTATTTAGCTGGGAGCGTTGTGGTTGACTGTGGGCTGTGGTCCTAGGACCCCCGGAAATATACAAAATATAATTACAGGAAGAGCATTAACATCAGTAGTAGATTTTGATTTCTCTGTGTAGGTCATAATTCCTATCATATCTTAGCTTTCGTATTTTCAATTCTCTCCTTCCCTCTCCTTTGCCCTTTGCAACCACCCAAAATCTCAAACACAAAACCCTGGAGAAAAGAAACCCACCCAAAGTCATCCTGGTGGATTCTTGCTATCTCTTTGGCCAGAATCCTACTCACCAAAGGAATGCCTTAAGCTGTTCCCTTTTTCATTCTAGCAAAAGAAAAAAAGAAAGGAAGGAAGAGAGGAAGGGAGGGAGGGAGGAAGGAGAAAGAAAGAAAGAAAAAGAAAGAAAGAAAGAAAGAAAGAAAGAAAGAAAGAAAGAAAGAAAACAGACATGGAAAATAACTGGCTTTGAATGTGTTAAAATCTCAGCCTTGGGCATAGCTAATTATTAGAGTTTTTTCTCGGGCTGGTTTGGGTGACGGTACTGCAGTGGATATATTTTCCCATGATCATTTTGTTCACTCCAGAAAGGCAATTTGCAACCAAAACAGGCTATGATTGTATCTTAAGAAAGGTGTCAGAGCACATAACAGGAATGTCCATTTCTGCCAGAAATCTTAAACTCTGATTGAAATACTTTTGTTCCACAATTATGAAAATGAATTCCAAGGAGAATGGGCTCCAAGTTAAACAAGTGTGTTTACAGGAGGACTGTTGAGCTATGTCTTATTTCCAGAAGGGAAGAAACACGGAATTATTTGTGCCCTGTGCAAGATTAGTGTTTTGCAAAATATACACTGACAAGCTCAACTTTCGTTAGAATTTAGAAGCTTCAAAGGTGTGTTGGTCTGGTCTGAAACATCCTTCATGATTACGTGCTGGAGCATACACAGTAGGAAGAGAGGTCTGAGGAGAACAGTGAGTACTAGAATCAACACAGACCTGTTGCAGGGCAAAGACCTTCCCCTGCTAAATACAGAATAATGGACAGATGACTTATGGGTTCACATTTTAGGGCCATATTTTCTGGAATTTTATTGATAGTGCCCATTTGAGATAATTCTCACATTTTGCTGTTCCAATTTATTATTTATCAGGTATAAGGGAAGGGGAAGGAAATTTGGAAAAAGAGAGGAAAAGAAAAAAAAATCTTAGTGGGCAAATACAAACTGACATGATGGATAGGAATACACTGAATATTTAGTTCTTATTTTTAAGTGGGCTAATCCCAAATTGTTTTGTGCCGTTTCAAACGTGACATTTCCTACCCTATAGTCAGTGGATGTTCATCAGTGTGGCTCAAAAAAAGTGACCCCGTTGTCGAGTGGAGGAAAGGCAGTCAGATACTTTAAAGCAGGTCTTGTTATCACGTGGACGTCTGGAGTGAACTAACAATGACAGATGTTGGTTGAGCCTTATATGGGCAAGTGTAGTCCTCAGCACCTTCCAGGGGTTCGTCTATATTATTCTTAAAATAGTCCTATAAGGTAGATACTATTTTACTAATGAGAAAATTGAGCAGGGATTAGTTACCTCGCAGACTCAGCATCACCCAGGCGGGGAACAATGAGCCAGATTCCCCAGCCAGGTGGACGGACCCCAGAGCCCAAGCGTGTCACCATCGTAACGGTCTTCACAGGCACTGGGGAGTTACTGTGTGTGTACGTGTATGCATTTCTTGTGAGCATCGGGCAGTGCGAGATGTTTCGTTTCCTTGCTTCGTTTACAACAGAACGGCTTTCAGAAACGTCTATTAACGTGTCTCAGAAAGGGATTCCTCAGAATGCAGATTAAGAAAGAATAAATCCTTTCGAGACCTCACACCCAGTGTTCATAAAAACAGAACCCACTGAAATCACCAGTGAGACCATCTGAGGGACCTGAAGGTCTAGCTGTCTTCCATCAAACAGGACCATGCCTCTTTTAGACACTTTCCAAATTCATTCTAGAAAGAACACTGGACTCCTCTCCTGACAGAGGGTGGCTGGAAGGCGGGTTCCCAAGCCCCTGAGCTCTGTGGCCTGGGGCACACTACTTAATGTCCCTGAATCTCAGATTCCTTGAGTTTGCCATGGGGGTAGAAGCCACCTTGAAGAATTCGGTGAAGATTAAATGAGATGACACAGCAAAACAGTTGAAGCGGGTCCCTGGCATTCGGTAGGAATTCAGCAAAACTCTCTTCCCCTTCCCATTTCTCTATTTGTAACAATCTCCAGAAAAATGTCCAGAGGCTTTCCAAACTTACCCAGTAGCTGCTCTTTGTCAAAACTCTACTGATAGAATAATAATAATAAAAAAACTCTACTGATACAGTCAATCAAAAACTATACACAATAATAAAAGTTCTGATTAGTCACCAAGAGTAACCGTGTTCTAGACAAAAAGACAGAACCTCTTATTTTCTCTTATTCTGAAAAGACAGTAGCAACAAAAATACAACGTAGCATGCTTTTATTTTAGAGAATGTTGCTCAAGGAAACTCTTAGCTAAAGTAGCCCAATGCCCTTTTCCCCGAAACCCACCGGGCAGCCTGTGGTGGCGTGTGTTCATTTCATCACACAGCCAGTTAATGTTACAAATGTTTCAGTAACTGTCTTTTAAAATACTGTCATCCCTCGGCAGGCTGGGGAGGACGCTGGGTACTGTTGCACAATTGTTGTCATTACCTTATGTGTCTCTAAATGACTCAATCAGTTCAAACAAGACGGTATTGATCGGTGGAGGATAAACACCATTTGATCTTACTCATGGAAACAGTAACCAGGCTCCTCTGAAGTGTAGTTCTAACAGCCCAATGCCCGCCCCCCCAACCCCGGGGAAAGCATCTGGAAAAGGGGAGACACCACTGCAGTGACATTACCTATTCGAAATCTGAATCCCATCTGCTCCTTGCACATCCTATAAGATGCAGGTGGTTGTTAGAGTGTTTCCTGCTGATTGGATCAGGAGAGAGAGCTCATCTATCATTTGAGTCCATCAGACTTAATCTAATCAGAATCTCAGTCTTAAAAACTACATAGAACCTTTTAATTGGATAAATTAAGGTTTTGTGTTGAATATTTTTGATTCATCCAAATCAAAAATTGAAATATTGCCTTTTATAATAATGGCTGCTTTGACTAAAATATGCCGGTAACTTGAGCTCCCTAATTTGATTTTTTTGAAAGGTTTTATTTATTTATTTGAGAGAGAGAAAGAGAACACAAGTCGGGGGAGTAGGAGAGGGAGAAACAGTCTCCTTGCTAAACAGGGAACCCCCCTCCGCTCCATGCAGGGCTCAATCCAGGACCCCAGGTTCATGACCTGAGCCAAAGACACACACTTAACCAGCTGAGCCACCCAGGCCACCGAGGCTCCCCACTAATTTAATTTTTTAAAGATATATAAACTCAGCTTTTTTCTTTTCCTTATACAGCTATGTCTGTGGAATTTTATAGGGTATTAGCAATCCTGTGGAAAATATTTACCAGGTTTATTTCAACAGGGCTCCATCCCTGGTAAAAGGAGTAGGAAGGCCATACTTCGGACTGAGATAATGCCCTCCAGTCTGCAAGGGTGTGCACAGTGTTCTGCCCCCAGCAACAATATGGCTATGGAATCAGCACATGACGATTTGGCCAGACAGAAGGACCAAGAGAGCAAACTGGTTTGGAATTCTATAAAATCTCGCCTTCGGTGATGTAGTAATGTCCCCTCTTCTTCCAGTAGTTAAAAATGAGCATTGTTTTGGGGTGCCCAACCGATTCAGAGAGCACTATACTTAACATAGCAGAATCCACTACTGTTGCTACCTTATTTCTATAGAATATTCTAGTTTACAAAGCATTTTAGACAGAAGCATTTAGACTTTTCTTTAAAAGATTTATTTATTTATTTGAGAGAGAGAGTGTGTGAGAGAGAGAGAGAGAGCATGAGAGGCAAAGAGAGAGGGAGAATCTGAAACAGACTACCCACTGAGTGCAGGGCCCAACCCAGGGCTCGATCTCACCACCCTGAGATCATGACCCGAGTCAAAATCAGAAGTCAGACACTTCAACACCCGTGCCATCAGGGACCCCTAGACTTTTTTAAAGCCAGATTTCCTCATGGTCAATGCAGCATGCCTACTTTCTTCAAGGTAGCTCAGCCATCACATCTCATTCCAACTGTGAGAAGCTGGTTAAATGCAAGACGCTCGCAGAGTCCAGAAGCCTCACTGGGCTCTCGCAGTGGAGGCGCATTACGTCCGGAGCTGCACCTACTGTGCAGGATGTGACCACCCCGGTGATGAGTAACTAAGAGGTTAGATGAAACTGGGAAGAGAGGGTGAGAATCCCTGCAGAAGGTGAGAGGAAAAACTTTTCCCGAAGGAAAGGATCCTACCAAGATTTCGAGCATGGCACATCAAAGAAGTGAAGGGAGGGAGCCGGGCTCCCTCCTGGAACGTCGCTGTGTGTTTGCAGGGTTTCTGTATTGAGGCAACTCTTCCTTCTTCCTCTCGAGTGATCTTTCATATTCTTCCATCCAGCTTTTCTGTTAGGACTGGAATTAGGGCTCCTTTTTCCAGCTAGGGGCTTCTGTGTAAAGTAAACTGGCTTCTCAGATTTGTTTAAGCCCTAATCCCTGGTTACTTTCCCCGGCAGTCAGAGATCAGACGCCGGCACCATG